AGAATATAAAATTGCAACAATATAAAACTATAATAGATTAAGTCCCAGGATGAAGGTCATGGGTTCACTCTACACTTAGGGTTCAGCATGGTTTGGAAATATTACAATAGATATGACATTTATGACTAAAAGTAAAAGGAGGGAGGGAAAAAGCATAATTATAGGTTTATTTCAATGAATTCTGAAAATTTGAACAGTTGAATTTAGAGTCTTAAATGGTAAGCTTCTGGAAGCAAAACGATAGTTATAGCCCATAGACTACCAACACACATTTTGTAAATAGATTATCACTGTAGTCACATACACTGTGATACCAGTCTAGCTACAATCCCCTGTGACACCCCCATCCCCACTACAACATGATGAGAAGGTGTGTAGTCAAGTATGAGGGGGGTCATGGGGTCTTCTAGCTAGACTAGACAAATATTTATAGCAAATATCGAAGCAACTTACCCAATAATTCAAACATATCGGTACGGTCAAGCAAGATAATTTTGCGCCAACATGATCACTATATTCGTTCATTACACAAATCACATGCCTCTATCTTTCGCTCTCTCTCTCTCTGGAGAGAAGCATTGGTTGATAGGGCTAATTGATTGGCTATGAAAGAAATTGGTCACAAACACATTTATGTCACAACTACTAAATGTTCTTGGAAGAAGCTGACGTTTTTCACTAAGATCATATTTGCTTAGCATAAACGAGTGCTACAGTTTGTCGTCCAAGTGGGAATTAATTGCACTATTTGTTTATTGGATATTCTAATCGGTATTCGGTAAAATCAACTGTGTACATTTTAATAAGTCAGTTACGATCATTGAAATAGAGGACTGATATATTGTTATAATTTGAGTCTAGTTATGAACTACAAGACGAAGCTAAAAGTCGAAGGAACGCATTGGGTAATACGAAAGTCAAACAGAAAATGAGATTTTCACTACTTAAATTTTTACCTCTTTAATTCATGTATTTCATCACTTTACGCAATACACAGGGTGTCCCGAAAGTATGCCCCCCCCCTCCCTAGGCAGACATATACCAGTGTCTTCATAGTATGTGTCATATATCATTTCAGAGCTTATTCAAAGTTACATTGATTCGCCAAGTATCATGGTTCAACTATCAAATGTGTAAAATAATTACAGGCATTTCGAATTCAAAATTTAGTGTTTGGCCAAAATTAAGTTCAACTTTACATCAAATCAATAGTCATTGTGTCCTCCCGGGCCATCTTAACAGTAGCGTTTTTTGGGTCAGGTGGATATGAGCTGGAAAAATAGAACGGTGAGGGGAGATACTCCAAGGAAACTCTTCTAAAGTGCCTTAAAAGGTTTTAAAAGGATTACAAAATTCCACACCACTATTTGAAGAGCTTTTAACGTCGTATCTGAAAATAATTGCTGCTGTTAAAATGGCCAGGGGAGAACTCATTGACTAGTAATGTGGTGTAAAATTGAACTTTATTTTGGCCAAACACTGAATTTTAAAATGACTGTCACTTTTTCCCATTTGAGAGTTGAACCATGATACTTGGCAAATCAATGTAATTTGGATACGCTTTAAAATGATATATGACACATACTATGACGACACTGGTATATGTCTGCTTAGGAGGGTGGGGGGCATAATTTCGTGACACCCTGTATGTACGTTTGGAATGAATCCTAATAATCAATCCTAAGGTCGTGGTCTCGTACTACACGGTTATTGCACAATATGTTTGTCACTAATTAAGTGTTTATTTGGATTTGTGAAAAATATGGAAGTAATTGAAGAGTATAAGCTATTGTATAATAGATCTGCTAAAGCTAGGATCTTGACAACATCACGTAATGTAAAGTCGATCTAGACTGAAGCGTGTTAATAAGTAAACTATCATTTTAATGTATGGAGTTGTCTATAATATGTTACTAACGCAATAATTCCTATCATAGGAAAGTTGTGGTTAATATCAATATTTTTAGTTTAAGATGTTGAGAATTTATGTGGCATCCTCGCTATTTAGATCCACCGAACCGCAAATTAATTAGCCTTTGACTTTTACAGCTTGTAGATATTTATTTTCCACTTGGAAGGGTATGTTTTTAGGTTGACTCGGGTCAAAAGATTTATCAAGCAAAATAAAAAAGCGTGTAAATGTTCTTTATTTATGTATCAATATCATAAACACACACATCGTATGATATCTAATTTTCTGTTTCTTATACTATTTTTGATGTTGGAGCATTGTATAGCGTCATTTGCATTTGACTTGTTTGATGTTTGATCATTTGGGGATGTTTGGGGTTTGTTTCCAACAAGCAGTTGTTCTCTTGAATTTTATTTGTCTTATTGTATTTCTTACTTTTAAAAAAAATCCCCTTGGCATTTGTACATTTTTATTTATTCAGCACCTTTTATTTCAGCAGTATCATATCGTATCTAGCGAATACTATATTGTAAATTCACTCTAAGTGAAACTCATTTATTGATGATATCTGGATATTTTGAACATCCATTATTCAAAGGACTTCACTTATTACTCAATTTATTGCGACCAAGGATGAATTTTGAATGGATGGGGTCATTATTAAACTCTGTTATTGTTTACACAAGCACGAAGACAATGGTTTCTGTATGATTTGGTAATAAGACTCTTTTGTCTCATTGGGTGTGGTAATAGGACTGCATTTGTATACATTGACCAATTTGGATATTTGGGATTGTTGCGTTATACATACAAATGCCTGTTATTCTAGATTGTGTATTTGATACCTTTGTTTAATTTACATTTAATCATTACATTGTGTAAATATACTTTGTAGATATGATCTAAAACAAATTTTAGGTCGCTGTAGCATCATTTAGTTACCAAATGTATGTTCTACAAAGACAGAAACCATTATAGGTCATACTGTAGGTGAAAATCTATGGCGATAATGCTATCTTGTTTCTGCTTGAGAGTTGACCTCGAAAGAAATGTTGCAATTAGTATAGGTGTGTAAGACGTGTATAAATATATTAGCTATCTCTGTTCTAACACCTTGGTTCAGATAATGACCTACTAAAACAACACATCATGGCGCATCATTGATATCACACGGAGGATTATCTGTGTATATTGAAAGAGATGTTCCGATGGTGAAACGCATAGGCTAATGGAATTTTCTTGAATATAGAAACACCCAAATAACAATATTAAAACATCAAAGGAAACACAACGTAAAAAAAACAAAAATATCTCAAGATGAACTAATCACAACAGAATTGTGGTTTTACAATTGTATCAAGCATAGTATAACAACTAACTCCCAAAGCAGACAAAATAGAGAAAAGTGTTTTAGTCAAAACGTCCATTTATCGCTCATTCCATAAATCTATTTGTTAAAGAGCAAGACATAGAACGCTCAACACTTAATTAATAATGAAGTCTTACCCAAAGCAATTTAAAGCCATATTACCATCACGCATGAAAGCCCAAAACGAGACTAGAATCCTCGTTGTTCTCTTTTTAAGAACAATTTGGTTCTAAAAAGCAAAACACTATCGTCATAACCTTACACTTTATTTTTCTTTGATAGGTTTTCGAAAAATAAATAACAGCAATTCATAAAATAAGATATAAATACTTATTCTTAAGATTTACGTAAGACTTATTGTCGAAATATAACATTTGAAAACCCCATCCTATGCTACATGGGTTATATTCTCAGACATGATTACTATGGTCTTGCATGACATAAATCACACCGGTCTCTCTCTACATCTCCGGAGAGAAGCGTCGGTTGATGAGGCCTAATTAATGATATCAACTAGACCACGAACTCCCTTCAGAAAGATTCAGCTATGAAATAACGGACAAGTTTACGTTAACCAGAATAACTAGATACAAGGGAGCAAGATAATCTTTTGTTTTCCTATAATTAAAATACTCGATGAACGTTCCAGCAACTTGGGTACATAATCTACGTCTGGCTTACCTACAAAGGTAACGCAAGATAAACAATTGGATGAAATCAGTTGGAAAGGCAACATAGGAAATGATTTGACCGGAGCACCTTAGTTATTAGCGTATATAATGATAACATTAATCTATATCTAATTTGATGAGCAATGTCTCCAAAGATGCACAGTATTTGTTAAGGAAATTGGTTGCATTTATGTCACGGCGTCTGGAAACCTGTGGATACCTCAACCTACAAAAACTGATAAATCTTCACCGAACAAGTTATTATTTTAACATAAACTGGCGATATTCATCTTGGAAATATAAAAATTGATTGTAATATTTGTTCAGCCGATTAGGATACATTTTGTAAAATTAACTATGTACATTTTAAAGGGATCTGTTACATTTCCCCTTTTCAACGAATAATTCAAATCGACCCAGAGTTTGCATCACGATCAATTAGATCAAAGACATAATGTGACATTCAATCCACCTTTCGCGAAGACAAATTAGTTTTATATGCGAAACAACTATTTCAAGTCATGAACAATAGTTGCACTGGTTTTATGAGTCGCAGAACTAGATCAACATTCGTCGACATTCAAGGAATACTGCGATTGCTTTCGAAGTTGTTGAACTGAAAACAGCACCTGATTGTACTTTAGTACTAGACATCCCATGGGCATCACGCATATTTAGGCAATTGAAACGGATCGTTTTCCCAGGTTGTATGAACAATCATCACAGACATCTTCACAGATCTCTCAATTATCAACCAGTATCAAGGTTAGCTGGACCGTATGATGAAATTTATAATACCCAAAGCCTGCTTATCTTTCTCTTATAGCGTTGATATCAGCTACGGTGACGTTGATAAATTCAGTTCGTTTTTCAGCAAAGTACACATATTATTTGCCATTTTCTAATATACCCACTCGAACAAAACATGCTTACTTCACCACCACACGTCAAAAAGTCACTGATAAGTGCGATAGGACTCGACTGCGCATGTACAAAATCTAACCACTTTAAGCATTCGAAGCTGGTGTAATCTGTACAAATGACTATAGGTACACATTTGTGTAGATCTAACATCTGCCCTCGATTACCTTTCGTGTGTTTTAGCTCATTGAGATATAAAACACAGCAATGTCTCATGTGGAAGGAATTGCATACGACTACTGAAATTAACTTAAAGTTAAGTAAAATGGACCACAGTGCCTAATTTCGGATTTCTGACACAATTGTTGATACCGTTGATTTATAAGCTGTGGGAGGATATTGATGTGTGGATTAAACCTGTTTCATGCGAATGGGAACATTATGGAAACTATTGCATATACAATGGCCAGCATTCGTCCATAATTAAGGATCATTAACCAAGAAAATCTAATAGGACTTTTAAAAACGATGCTAAGAAGCAAATATTGACTATTCTCACCTAAATAAGCAATTGGCTAAAAGGAAGAGGAAATTAAAGCAAATGATCAAATAATGGAGAAATAATAAAACCAGCATAAAGAGAAATACTCATGTCGAGGATAGGTGTTTTGCAATATCAATACAGGGCCTGAGATGTTTGTAAGCTTAACCTTTGAAGACAACTAACACACAGTTGGAGCCCGTGGATATTTTGGGCAATGCGAAAGTAATCTCAAGAGGATACCAAGATGCAGAAAAAAAAGTGGCACTCGAATGGAAACTAAATGCATTTTATATGGATTACATGAATAAAGGCAGAAATATACCAAATAGAATGATAAAAATGTCCATGCTTGTGTGTGCATTCTGTTTTTGTTGTCTGACGACTTTTACACAATCAGAGGCCTCAAAGATAGTGAAAATAGCAGCTATTATTCCCGAAGATAATGCCAGACTTTTCAGTATTTCAAGGGTTGCCCCTGCTCTGGATTATGCCATTCTTAAAGTCTATAATGAGAGCATACTGCCAAAGGGATATAAACTTGATGTTAAATACGCAGATTCGAAGTGTAATGGGAAAGATGCCCCCATTGCTGCCTTTGACTTTTACATGCAAAACATGGTGAATGTTTATTTCGGACCATGTTGTGATTACGCATTGGCTCCCATAGCAAGGTATTCCCCGCACTGGAACATTCCCACCATCTCTCCCGGTGGTTTTGCTCATGACTTTGGGAGAAAAACTGGCAAAACGGCTGAATTTGATTTACTCACACGAGTAGGGGTAACTTTTCAAACCCTATCAGAGTATTTGATTACACTAATCACGCATTTTGACTGGCATAAGATGGCTGTTCTTTATACTTCCAACGGTCATGGGACAATTATGGATAGGTTTTGTTACCTTGCTGTGAGTGCACTTCAATCATACATTCTCGAAGTTGGATCCAAGATCAAATCATCTCGTTTCAGGCTTTTTCTTGAAAAACACAATTGGAGGGATTTTCTTATTTCAGAGGCTGCTAATTATTCTGGTGAGTCAGAGTTTTTATCTTGTTATGTCCTGGATTTAACAACGTATTTATCCTTGTTCGCGTATTTCCTTCACATTGTGTATAGAGCTACAGGTAAGAAGTGGGAACAACCTTTGTTTAAACACGACGTTATCGAGATGTGATATCCTTTGCAAAAGCTCGACTTTGCCCATACTCTTAAAAAGTAAGATAATCTTTGATCAAATCAAATTATACTATGATAATGGACAAACAGAAATTCATTGCACTTTATTTTTCTGCTGGGATTCCTTTCACATTCAAACTCCCATAAAGGGTTTTAAAATCGACACAGAGACTACCGTATTAAATTAGTATCAGAACTGTACTGCCTTGCGTGATTGTCAGCAATGTCAGAGGGTCGTGTTGCTGCCAATAAGACACCAATCAAACGCGTTACCTATACCCTGAGGGACGGAGCATTATAGTTGAAGATCTCTTTGACATAAGCAAAATGAAAACTATAAGGATCATGAAATGTACGTTACGTTCGTTAAGTCAACCTATAATTGGTTTCATTTCCTTGAAATGCAGTATTAGTGTTTCTTGTCGAATATTGACTCTCCGCATATGTCATTTTCAGGTGATATTCACACTGAACCTGAAGTAATAACGATGATGTATATAATACAATGGACGATTGTTGAGGGTGGCTTACACGTTTAGATAAATGTTATGACGGTACACATTAAATATGTAAAGTGTGCGACTACATTTGTAATATGTCCTTCAACATTTAAAAAGTATTATGAGATAAACGCAAAGATAAAACTCGTTTGACACCAAAACTTCAATGTCTTTTAGAATCGAAATAATGTCAACTATGGGCATTGACCTATCAAACCCCTGAAGATATGAGGACTAAATATATTTTAATTAGTAATGTATGTTAATATAAATTTGAATAGAAGCCATCGCGATGTTTAAATCATGGACTCATAGTGTTCCATCCATAGTTAGATAAAATACAGTGACATGATTCTGACTTATTTCCATCCTTCGAGATAGGTCCTTCACTGCTTTCATATATAGCAGATTAATGTAATGCAATGAATTTCTCTTGAGCCAATGATGACTTATTTCGGACTTAAAAGTATTTTCAAATTGTTCAGAGAGTTAATGAAGATAAAATTATTTTTTTCTAATATGAATCCGGTTTTAACCAGGTGACCACGTTCTGAGGTTATTCTAACAAACAATCTAATGTACATTAGATATATCTCAATGAGAAACAATTTGATTAATTTTAAAGTGTGAAAGGACATGTTTAGTCAAACCTAGTTATCTATATAAATACATGCACATTATGAGTAACGGCTGATAATGGGTCTAGAAGATAATGTCCTAATTTAGAATACAAAAATATATATCAAGGCTGCTTTCTCAAAGGAAATTCATAGTTCAGAAAGTCATTATCTTTCCAGCACGCAGAGTCTAGCTATAAACTAAAGGATGAGGCTCTCTTTTAAAGGGACCCACCACCATGGTCACATGATCAGTCGTGTGGAGGTAAGCTCCCAGTTGAAATAAAAGCACTGTTCTCCTTTGGTTTCTGTGAAAAGTAGCTAATACCCTCATGTATTGGTCAGTTTGTGTGTCACACGACTAATCCATACCATATGCTTCATTCAACATATTTTATGCTATTGAGCTGCATATATAAACAGTACTTTGCAACTAAGGTCATACAGTATACTTACCCCTTGCAAATTGTAATTTATTGAATTCACAGTAAACCCATCAATTTTTAAGAAAACAAAGAAATTCATTCCCATGAGATATGTATATATAGTCAAAAGTGATAACTATTTATTAAGTGTAATGAAATGTATCCTTCGCTAACTGCTTTTGTTTGAGATAATTATCATGAAAATTTTTTAATTATTTTTTATGTGTGTCATTGATCCTAATCCACCCTGTTGTCTGGTGTTTGTAGAGCATTGCACCTCGTACAACTTATTCTCACAAATATCAAACCTCATTTACTAATTAATTTTTTGTGTAAATATGAAGAGTCCAAGCATTGCTTTTTTATGTTCATTGTATAGCTATATTTAGCCTTGATATCCGTGATTTTTTAAAACAAAATCTCACCGTTAGATTTCGAGCTATTCATGTTTACTCATTTTTCTAATTGGAAAACAATGCAAATCTCATTTTTTCAAAAGAAAAAATTGAAATTCTAAGACGGTGAAAAAATCAGATTCAGAATCCGGCAAGCATTTTCCCTTATTCCTCTCCGTTAAGAAGTTTTGTAAGGTGTTGGGTCCCTTTAAGAAGCGAAGTCAAATGACTGCAAAGGGTAGCATTAAGTTGAAAACTTTACAAGATGACACTTTAGTATGTTTTAAACATACTAAAGCTATATTTAATTTCTATGGTGATAATGTAATTATTAAATTATTAAAATTTATACTTGTTAGGCACTAAAGTACTATTCATGAAATGTCAGTTATGATTTAGCAATTAACATGCAATCGAATTATTATTAGATTCGATCTTCACTTACAAAATGGATCAATGTTGTTGTCAACAGTGACAAAATATCTATGTACTTCAGGCTATGGTTCAGTACAATTACAAAAGAATTTAGTAAATTATAAATGACAGGGTTAAGTAAATTCAATTATGGTGTCAATATCCATTACATAAAAACATACCAACATTGCCGGAGTATGCTGAACATCTTGACTTTCTCTTTTCAAAGATTTTATAACGGATTATATATAGCTTTTAGATATTAACAATTTATCTCTATGACGCCGTACCGTTTTCCTTTGTGTAATTTACTAGTTTCATTTAAATGCCCATTTAGCCAATCATAAATGAATTATAATCCTGTATTCACTGATTTGATATTTCAGTTGAACAAGTAAGTGATCGTTAATAGAGGATCTATAGTACCTCACATATTTTTGAAAAGCATCAAAGCAAAAACTTTTGCGAGACACTGTGTATCATATTCTATATTATAGCAAGAATGCAAATACAGCGTCTATTGATAGGTTGTTTTTAATGGAACCTAACAAATAAAGTGAATGTCATTTGAAAAAAAGTTGTTATGGCTATACGTCAAAGAAACAATACACTTGCTTGACAATGAAATCCTATCCCAACATAACTCTACAATAGCCCTGCATGTCAGTAACACAAACCTGCCGAGGTTATTTTCTCAACTCTGTTCTTCCTTCTAGGATACCATCATGTTCCGTAATTATGCAAATATTAGACATGATATCTTGGAAAACATTGATCTATAGAAATACCTTTCATTATAACTGTATTAAAATAAATGCCATTATAAGTAAGAAAACTATTTTCCTGAATATTACAATTGGATTCTTATCTATGCTAATCTTGATAACACTTTCTTATCATTCATAGTGGCATCTTGCATATGACATCTGATAAAAAATAATTTCTAATCAAGTGCTACTGTTTTATATGTATTAAATCTCTACAATGAAACTGTACATTTCTAAATTCAGTTAGAACAATATTGAAAAACACTATTTGATTAAGAAGTGGCCACCTTGCCCTGAATATTTGAAGGCGAGCAAACATTGTTTTATCAGGTTATACTATTAGAACATTACTATACTGTATTCACCGTCTATAAAGCCTTCTATAAACTGTGAACAAAGTCAACATTGCACCCGGGGTATATTCGTCAACACTACCCCTGGTAATACGAGTAATTAATATTACTCTATTCTCTGATTCAGACATTTTGAAATGTGGAGTTACTTGAAATTAAAGAAGTTCCATATGCTTACAAAAAATATTAGCCGTTATTAATCTCCTCGTGCTATAATGACCTTTATCATTGCTTTCTGGTGTTATGCAATACAAACAAAGACTTTATCTTGTTAGTCTGAGACATACATGAAAGCAAATTCACTTTCTCAATGGGTCTGTCAGATTCAATCTCACTTCTTGAAGGAGGGATGGTGAGTCTATAGATAGAAATATATAGAAACTCGATTCGTTCATCAAGTGTTTGCATATGATATTGTTCCACCTTCTCTAATATTTGTCTATACGTTATGTAATATGGCTTGGTATAGTTGGATCAGTTACTTAAAGTGAGGAGGCAAATACTATAATACGTAACCACCACGTTAAGACATTGGCATATATTGTGCAATGATTAGAAAGCACAATTGGGCACTTGGGTGATTAAGACGGTTCCTTTATAGTTTTCAAGAAAGGCACAATATTAAACAAGTTTTAGTATACATATACGTGTAACATATTCCTCCAAAACCAAAACAGCAGAGACTATATAGATAATTTAAACATGGAAAAGTACCGAGAACAGACTCAGTAATTCTAAATCAAAATGCGTTTAGGTCCTTGGACACAAGCTGTGATTGCTTTTAGTTTGTTATGGTGATGACTTGATTCTCAATTAATTCAAACCTAATCATGTGAACGAATATACTGGTTCATTCAAATGAACCGTTTTCCATTTCTTTATGACACCTCAACCTCTGCAAGTTGCAACCATTGCATGTATTTACTTATCCTGATGAGGGTTTACAATAAACTGTCATGTCTCATATTCTGAGAAGTATTGCTCAATCACGATCCTGAACTTAATCTGTTTTGAATACTTCTTTGGTGGATATATTTAGTTGATAACCGATGCAAAAACTATTTCAAAACACAAATTGGTCTGTATGGGATTTGTTGCATTCATTAGCTGACTTCATGTTCACCAGGGCATTGCTTCTCAAGTTATTTGCAAATAAACTCCCCAAATTGAAAAATAGATTAAACGCTCCATAAGTTGATCAAGGAGTCTGATTCAGTTGATCATCTTTGCCATTTGCATAATGCGGTAATGGCTTTGTCAAAAAGTGTTCTGGACAGAAACAGGTTCAAAATTTTGGTTTTTACTCTTCATCTTTCTAATGTTGGACAATGTGCTTCCATTTATAATGTGTGACATGGTAAGGTGACGACTTGAACAAAGGAGTTGCATCTTTGTTTTAATAAAAGTACAATTCTTGTCTGGTGTTACTCTCTTTGCATTCTATGCAATGCAATGGTATGGCATGAGACGAAGAAAATAAAAGACCATGCGATCTCTGTTACGCAAAGGTGGGAAATAATATAAATACAATGAATCATATGAACACTATTACATTAGCTGATGTTTTAGAAACTGTTGTTCCTTTAGGAAAAATGAAACATATTATCTTGAGCTCATATGAGAAGTTACTTATTGATGGA